AATGGAAAAACCCCAGAGAACGTGTATTTACTTTGATGTTAGTGTTTTAGAAAGTCTAAGCACAAAAGGCTTTGCTCCATTTCCACCATATTTTAGGAAAAACATCTAGCTAAGCGGTGCAAAAAGAACCCAGTGGAGCTTCCAGCCTTACTTAATAGAAAGCACAATTTTGACAGGATCTGTAAAACTATATTTTAACTGGACAGAAAGTAGAAGAGACGAACATGTGACAAAAGGTCATCATGTTACTTAATTCATATAGGAGGAAATGGACATCCCAAAGTGGTGATCACAGTGCAAGAACTTGAAGAAGACAAAATTTTGTTAGGTTCTTCTCTCTGAAATCTGCATTTTAGCACAAACCCAACACTTTGAAAAAGGTTCGTTTTAAAAATGCATTAATAATTAATATTATTATTATTCTCAATAAAATTCTCAATAAAAATTGAGCACATAGTAGGAAATCAGCAGTTCTGATGATCTAAGCATGGCATGGAAAATAACGTTGGATAACTAAGCTTTCATTTATGGGAATAAACATCTTTGGTCTTTTACTGTATAGGTACAGATAGACTATCACTCAAACGCTGAAAGGCTTCAACTCCCTATCCAAATGCAAGGAAAGGGGAATATCAAACCCCTTAAAGCTCATGAAAAAGCTGGTCTCTTAGGGAAGCCAAAGAGTGCATTCCCAGGAACTCAGAGGGAGGTGAAGTGAACTCTGAAAGTTTCTAAGGACCTTTTCTTTCTTTTGTACAGAACTGAAAGTTTAGGAGACAGAGAGAAAGCCTCAGGCTGAGTTCTCACATTATTCTCCCCAGCTCCCTGAAGACCTGCTGACAGTTCCTTGCTCACCAAGAAATTCGCAGAGGAAGAAAAAGAGAGAGGCCCCAATACTTCCTTTCTCTTGCTTCTCCCTGCACCCTTCAATTCCTTAATGTCCTATTCCTCACCTTCAGAGCATCAGAAGAAGACTTCCAAGAAGCACAAATCACAGCAAAAGAACACAGCTCCAGGAGGAAAAAGAAAGGGACAGAGGGTATGGAGGCTATGACCACTCCTGAGGTCAGCTTCAGCAGTTCTGTGCCAGAGTGCAAATCCAGCACGGATCTGATCTATGCCCTGCACACAGCACAGCCTCTGACAGTGACAAGTCACAGCCCTCAGCCAGCCATGCCCATTACCCTGCTATCAGTCAACAGTCTGGAGGACCACAGCAGTGAGGGAGAAGTCAGTCCTTGCTCTTCTGAGTTCTTTCAGGACTGAAAAGCAAAAGCTTTCTCGTCATGAGGTTCTCCCTTAGGAATCCCATGGGATAGGTGTGGAGAAAGCATGTATTGTAGAAAGCAGATAGAAAGGATCTGCAGCCTGAGTGTTTTATCCTGAATCCACTGGAGGAGTTTTGAATCAGGCCAGTGGGCTGGCTGATTGTCCAGCCACCAAATCAATTGCTGAGAAGTTCTTAAAGCCAAGCAGTGACAACTGTCAGTCTAACATTTGTATTTTTGGTGCTAGCTGACCTAGATAGATTACTGTTGAGATCTCAGGAGTATTTTCAATAGCTTGCAGAGGCATCCTGAGTACAGAAAAGTAATTAGAAAAACTTCTACTGGCTTCAGTGGGAGCAGAATCTCTCCTTGCACCTCTCAAACCCCAAACATACTATTGTGTTTACTTCAGGGTCCTCAGGAAACCCTGCAATAACGGTGCTAATCTTGAATTGTAGAGCTTCTCCACATCGACACTATGTCATGAATTCCGATATCTCCTTCTGCTCTCTCACTCTCAGAGGCTCTGGACAAGAAAAGCTTCTCTGCATTTGGAACTTGACCTCTTACTTTATTGCATAGTTTTCAATATTTTTTTTTCTTTTTTTCTAGTCTAAGAAGGCACTGAAGTGGATTGTTAAATTCATGGGGTATGCTGGGATTATAGCCAGAATGGGTTTGTCCTCTCTGACACAAGTTTCAGGCAAGGACTGTTTAAAGACTGTGACCTTTTCCCATCTATTGGTTGTAGCTGGGGATTGTTTAGGCTGAATTTAAAATGTCCCACAGAACTCTTTCGTCATCCTGATTGTTTTACATCTGCATTTAACTTACATAAACAATGTACAACTCACTAGAAAAATTGGACACTCCTGACATATTCTGTGTTCTGTAGCCTTCTTGTTCTATGGAAATGCTTTTATTTCAAGTAGCTGGTAGGGAAAAACCTTCCTAACTTTGAAGTGAGTTTTAGCACATTGATGAGAGAGAGAGAGAGAGAGAGAGAGAGAGAGAGAGAGAGTGTAAAATCCCATTTCATTTTTAAAGTTAACTGTAAAGTTTTAATTAAGTCCACTGAACAAGGATTCCGTGATGCTTTAAGAGTTAGCAATAGCACACAAACCACTGACTTCATTCATTAAGTTCAGTTGACAAAGGCCAACACAACTCTTTTCTTTGTAACCATTTATGTTTGAGGTGAAGATGTTAATATGGAAATTTTGTGAGCTGGGAACAGCTACGAACTCTATCATTGTAATTTATGACCTTTCATCTGAGGCCAAATGTAAAGGCAATTGCAATTGTTCTATATCTCAAGGCCAGCACATAGCAGATGTGTGAAATTTGGAGTGCTAGACATAAACTTTTATTACCAAATTATAAATAATTTCTACCACTTACAATGTTCACCTTTCAAGTTCATCTTGATTAAAATGCAAGGGCAGCATCTCACTGATTTCCATAAGTTACACAGCTGAAAAAGTTCTGTTATAGTACACTAGGAAAGGATAAAGCAATGCAGTGTTTAAAAGAATCTACTGACAGCCAGGTATGCAATGGTTTAGATCAAAATCCTTTTTCATCTAGATGACAAAAAGCAAAAGACAATTATTAGCCAATGACATCTGAATTCTATTTTCACTCTTGAAGCTTTGTAATCCTTAAGAAGTCCACTGCATGTGGATTACTTAAACCCTTTATTATTTCAGGAAATAACACATTCTCTAGGTTGCCTAATAACTGCTGTGATGACATAATATTCCTGAATGTATAAGGTGGGAATTGTCTTTCCAAGTGCAACTCATGCTACCCCAAAATGCTCAGCAACATACGCCTTCCTGCAGGAAGGTTAATTTGCCTCTAGGAACAGCACGTGAGACTGCTTCAAGACCTATGGCAAATGAAGGAAAATTAACGAAGATTTGGGTTCATGACTTGGTCTCAAACTATAAAAACAGGGGACTAAGGATACAAGATTTGCCCATCTCAATGTCTGTGATAGAAATCAGATATGTTTGTGAGGCTAATAGGTTATGAAGCAGGAAAGTACAAGGATTTTGTTGACTGACAGCAGACAACCAAAGTACCCATAATTAAGGACGTGCCTCAGCTAGCTAGAAAGCGGGCTATTGAGCAGAAGGCAAAGTAGCTCATCAGGTTCTAATGGCTCAAAAAAACCAAAAGCAAACAAAAACACCCAACAACAAAAAATAAATACAAGCTCTGAAGACAAACTCATAAGAAAGAAAACAAAGAGGAAATGTCACAAAACATAAAACATCCCTGTTTGGATTTGTGAAATTGCAAGTTTACCAGCCCAGGCATGAAAATTCTATTTGCCCTATCTTTATACTGGAGATTGATAACAATGAAAACCAGGATATTTCCTTATCAAGACATTAAGCACTGAAGCCAGGCAGCCAAATAAAACTTTGCAAGCCTGCTCCCCAGAGTAACTATTATATGTTCCTTTTCTGCTTCAAGTACTAGATATAATCAAGCACAGTTGGATGCTCCTGATTAACATGACGGTTGCCTGGAAACATGGGCACAATGTGGGCAACTTTCTGTCCGTGCCTGTGCTTGAACTCTGGGACAGGCAGGTAAACGAGGTTGGGCTTGCAGTCCTGGCCTCTTAAAGCCCTTTAGTCTAAGCTTCGGGGAAAAACAATTGTTACTGGACAAGTGTTCAAAATGAGAAGATAAACAACTTTGGAAGGAAGAGGGAATACAAACTCGTATTCTGAAAAGCCATGGTACATTTTCTTTGTATCATGAGAATTGAGAGTTTCAGTAAGATATTAAATTAATAATGGAAGAATTAAAAAAAAAAAAAAATCCGGTCCAGAAACTTTCATAGATTATTAACTCCTGTCACAGTACCACACCCCTTAAAAAAAAAAAGTTAGCTGGAAGAAAGGAGAAAAGACAGGTGAGACGATGAGGAGAAACAGAAGATGAGCTTGGCTTCTTCTTGTGCCACATTCTTCCCAGGTGACATTTGAAAAACAAACAAACAAACAAACAAACACCAAACCCAAACAAACTTAGTTTCTATGTTCAGTAGAACAAAGTTCCCTGTGCAAACTGAGCAGCACCTTCTTGTCTGGTCCTGGACAGGACATCTGTGAGGTGTTCACCACGCCCATGTAAGACAAGATCATTTGGGAATTAATAGGATCCCCTTAGAGCAGAATACGATTATATACTGGATTGTATTGGACACTAGGAGTAATGTCTTCTCGGAAAGGGCGGTTAAACATTGGAATGGGCTGCACAGGGAGGTGGAGGAGTCACTGTCCCTGGAGGTGTGTAAGATAAGACTGGATGTTGCGCTCAGTGCCATGATCCAGTTGACACAGTGGTTTTCAAAGGTTGGACTAGATGATCTCAGAGGTCTTTTCCAACCCGATTCCGTGATTTTTTTTTTTTCGTCCCCACTAGAAATCTTTTTTTCCTATAGCATTTCTCTCCCTGGAAAACCGACGGGGCGTTATTGCGCCTGGAACAGTGAGCAAATACGTAAGAAAACACATCTCCGCGAAGAGACGAGCGGCTCAGCCGCCCGGCGTAGAGGGGCAGAGGGGGTCCCAGAGCGAGGCCCTCCCCGCCGCCAGATTTGAGGGGCGAGGCGAAACATCACCCGCACTTTCCAAAATCCCCAGGCCCCGCCCCGCTAGGCGCGTTCCGGCGCGGACTGTCCCGCCCGGCGCGCCGTAGTGGGGCGGGGCCGCGCGGGCCGTGAGCGCCGGGAAGCGGCGCGGGAAGCGCCGGGAAGGGAAGAGCCAGGAAGCGGCGGGCGGTGAGTGCGGGGCCGGCTCGGGTGTGCGGGGGAAGGGGCTCCGGTGCGGCGCTGTGTTTCCCCCCCGCCTCCGGCCCTCGCTCCGGCTTCGTCCTGGATGTTGATGGAGGCGCGGTCTCACTCCGTCCGGGCTCTTCCCTGGGGCACGTTTGGTCCGGGAAAGGTTGGGCTGTGAGGGGCTGCGGGATGCCGGGCGGTGGTGGGTGTCGGTGGGAAAACCAGCGAGGGTCCCTGGGTTCGTGGCTGGAGCCGCCCGGTGCGATTTGCCGCAGGAAGGGGCGACGAGAAGCCGGCAGAGCACTGGGGGTTTGTTTCTGCCTTCGGCTTGAAGTGCAGAACAAACCTTCCTTGCGTAAAGAGACACTGGAGCAGATGTTGAGCGAATATTGACTGGGAGGGGGGGTGTGTGTGTGTGTGTGTGTGTGTGTGATGTGTCCCTGCGCTGGGTTTTTAAATCACATTATCATTTCAGGTCTCTCTCTAATTTAATCACAAGCCTTAACTTAGTCTACTTAAACAGATTCAGTTGAAGAAATCCTTTCAAATTTTTTTCTTTGCTTGTATTTGCGAGCCAAGATCAAACCTGCTCTTGCTGTTCCTGTGTATGGAGCAGGTTCTGACATCTCCCTTCACCCCCTGAAGGCATTAAACACTTATGGCTTAGCTCTCTAAATTTAGTAAAAATCATTTTACCAAAAGGTGCTAGAGATGATGAGGCCTTTGGCACTGTTGGAAGTTTAAAAGACGTCCAGCACGGCAAACAAGGATCCTTAGTGTTAATTTCAGAAGTTAAACCTTCCCTGTGGCATTTTTATGATGAAGTGGCTTCAGGAGCTCTGCCTCTCCGCCTCCACCCTTAAGGTTTTGCTTTTATCACCTTTGATATTCTCTCCTACGGAAAGCATTAAGAATCGGGGGTCTGCCTGTCTGTACAGAGTATTTAGGACAATATGGGAGTGTGTTTCTTATCCAGATGTTTTCTCTTAACTTCTCAGCTTACCAGAGAAGACCAAGATGAGTCTCCGGAAGCAAACCCCGAGTGACTTCCTAAAACAAATCATCGGAAGGCCAGTTGTTGTAAAATTAAATTCTGGTGTTGATTATCGAGGTAAAGTCTCTGTCTGTCCCTCACTGAGTAAAGTAATTAATTGGGGAGGTTAGAATAGATGCATTGATTTTGAAAAGCAAAACCATGTGATCCAGAATCTTGGAGTACGAGAATACAGATCTCAGAATGGTGACATTAAAAATGGAAAATCAGCTCCGGAGAAACAAAGCAGGTTGACAGTGGATTTAGAGTTTAAAAGTACTGATCTAAATCATTAGTGTCTTTAGTCACAGATGATTCAACAGGAGTCTTGGAGTGATTCCAAATTCCTAAACTGACATTGGTAAAGATCGTTTGGAATTACAGCTCCTGAAATGGCCCTTTTCAGTGCTCTGATAGCATCTCTTGTTGGAACTACCCATTTCTTCACTTTTCTGTTCTCTAATTCCTAGTATGGATCTTGGTCCAGAAAAGCTTCAAAGTTAACTGTGCTGTCTGTCATAAGGTGGCTCTTACAGGAGGGAGGAAAGAGTTACTGACATCCATGGTTAAACAACTGCCCAGACCTGTGTTGGACCGAGACTCGCAGAGACAGAGGAGAAAGCTTAGTGTGGCTTTTGCTGCTGTATTCATTTTAACACAGTCCAGCAGATTTATTCCAGAACTCTTCAGCCTATCTATCCCGTCATGCACTGTATGTAGGATTGTAGATGTTTTTAACTAGTACATTAAAAACTTTTCTGTGCAGTGAAATGCCCTAGTCCTATTCCCATTATTGACTTGTCTGAGTAGTATCCAGACTTAATTAAAAAAACTTCTGTTGTGCACAGATTTCATTCTGTAGTAACTTAAACCTTGTGGTTCTGCTACAGATAGGTTTACTTCAATTGGCTTAGCCTGGCACTTGTGAGATGAGGTTTGTTTGTGCTGTGACAAGGAATCTTTGTGTTATGACAGTTCTAAACTGTTATTGTTCACTGACAGAGCAAACAGCGCCTCCACATCCCTTCCTATTTCTCTTTAGTGTCACTCAGATGACAGAATTTGCAGTCTCTCAATTCTTTGAGAACTACATTGTCTGAGCACTTCAGGTAGGGTTGGTGTCTTAAAACCTTCACTGCATCTCTGTCAGTCTTTCTTTCAAAAGAATATAGAGAGAGCTCATTAAAGTCACTTAAAGCAAGTCATCATTTACCTGAAGGTGCACACAAGCAGGGCCAAAACCAGATTTGTTTTTTTGATGCACTTCCTATTTTCTTTGAGACCATTGCTATCTCCTGCTTGGTAAATGCTGTAGATGAGCTACTCAGCTTTTTCCTCCACAAAAAGCTACTTTAGCATGCCTACAGTGAGACCTTCCAGGAATTGAACCATATTTCCTTGAACACCCGTACTTGTTACTGGATTTCCCACCCTGCCTTCCCTTCCTTATTTTCCCGTGCTCTCCGTCCTTCCCACTTGATGTGACCTGTGTTGGAAAATCTGTATGCTGGTTTCATTTGAAAAAATAGGCACTGTTTTTTTTTCTGCAGAAATGTGACCAACACTTGGAAAAGCCTTAAGAAATGGTGTCTTAGGCTTTTTGTTGCAGGTCTGTTTAGATTCTCCCCCAGGCTGTGTTGCTAATTTTTTGTCTGTACCTCCACCCTCCAATCCATCACACGCACAAGCGTGGCCTGATGCAAGTGTTGATGTGTAACTGAGATGTCTTGATTCATTGCCCAGTCCTGCACATGCCCTGGGAAACTAATCAGGAGTGTATTAAGGTACCATTTCTGTGTGTGGATATGGATTTGTACATTACAACATCTCTACATACAGATAAACCAGATAAAACACTGGCCAGGATGGACAGTGATAGTATTTGATGCCATTAGTGGCCTTAGAGTAAACACAAAGAAAAGGAGAAAGAGAATGAAACAGCCCTGAACCAAACAGTTTGAAAATACTGCATTTGGGGCCTAGGTAAATCTTCATGGTTCAATTTTAATTTTGGACAAACATATTTTTGTTTTCTATTGTTGTATGGAGCACTCAGGATTACTGGAATGGAAGAGGGTTTTGACCCTTGTTTGGTTTGGGTTTTTTGGTGCATTTTGTGATACTTTGTGAGCAGTTTTTCTCATGCCTGTGGAAACAGAGGAAAGAGAAACAGGAAAATAATAATCTTTAAACCATGAGAAGCTGGCAGAAGAACTTCAATTCCTATTATATGAGAAGATACTACAATAACACTTCCAAAAATGAGAATGAGGAGGATTCTCAGTTTTCTCACTTTCCCCATGTACAGCCAATATACTGTATTTCAAGTTTTACTGCCAAATAAATAAGTGTTTTTCAAACTGAGGAAAAAATAATTTTAGTATATTGTCTGCACGTGCAAGGATGAAGTCAGGAAAACACACATCCAAAAGGGAAATAAAACAACTGGTAAAAAGCTGTATTAATTATGTGCATGATTAACAAATCAGGTTGCATTCTCTGAGCCATTCTTTACATCTTTTAATCCTCACATTCAGTTCTGTTGATCAAGTGAGTTAAGTTTGTAGATGGCCGTGATTCTGGGTGTAGACAAAGAAGAGAGATTTTGAATGAAAAAATGCCACCACACTGCCAGTACTTAGCAAGTTCTGAGTGAAGAGGGTTCAACAGGTGCTATTAGAAGTGAGAACATAAATACTTGTCTAAAATAAGTGCTACTAAAATGCTATTTTCCTGATCAAAAGAACATCTAATATTACAGGCATTTTTCTTAATTTGCACTAAACACTAAACAGTGTAATTTTATATTTGTGGGAAGATTTCAGTACCATTTGAAAGCCCTTTGTCAAAACATGTAGAATTTTGTTTACATCAAAACAGAGACTTTCAGCTAATGCTCTTCTAGATCTGTAAGCATGAAGATAAATATGAGAAAAAGCATGTATGGTGTCCTGTATGAAAAGGGTTGGTTTTCACCTATATCCCTCACAAGGTTTGGTGATAACTCAAGTTACATAGCCTTGTCCTTAGCTTATCCATTTTGTCGTAATGTCACATGTTCTTAAAACACAAGTGAGAGGGGACAACTTAAAATTTCAAAGTGGAAATTGTTCATCTTTTCCAAGTCATGCCTTAATGACTTCTTTTTTTATCCCCACAACTCTTACATCAATTGACAGTATCTCTACGAGAGTGCCTGGGATTCTTGTCTCCCAGCTGAATTATTTGAAGAGTATATATGGCCAGGCTTGGGCTTTTGGTTTGTTATAAAGGTACAGATTTGGGTTTTTTCCCTGTACTATTCAAACACAATGCATTGTTGTTTATTTTAAAATAAGTTTCAGCTGATTCTCTCAAACTGTCGCTTTTCAGGTGTCCTGGCTTGCCTGGATGGGTATATGAATATAGCTCTGGAACAGACTGAAGAATATGTAAATGGACAATTAAAAAACAAGTATGGGGATGCATTTATCCGAGGAAATAATGGTAATTCCTCCTCCTTCTGTTATTGCTCATTAAAAAACTGTGCTTTGATATTTACTTCTGAATTTCAGCGGTGGCTGGGGTATAAGCAAGCTGCCTGTGAGAATATTAGTTTTAGGCCCTCTTGGAAGCCTTACCACATTTACTTTTTTACAATTTCACTTTCCACAATCTGTGCTTTTCTGCATTCCTGTGACCTTTTTTTGCCTCTGAACCTGAAGTTCATTTAGAGAAGCACATTCTTTTCTAGCCTTCCTCAGAGCTTATTTTCCATCATTTGACAGGCTTACTCTTTGCACTTGCTGCTTATTTAGATGGCATCTGCACCACAGAAGTTTGCATTTTGCTAGGCAAGCTACTGCATAAATTTATGCAACAGTGCAGATATTACAGTGACACTAATATTTTTTGGGTGAGAGGCAGTTGTCCAGAACTGAGTGAATGCTGCTTATTAGTACTGGAGGCTATTTTCATCTCCAAGTAAAGATTTTACCCCCAGTCAAGAAAATCACTCATGCTTTACTGTTGAGCCTTTGAACATCCCAGTACAGTAGGTGGATTTTGTGCACTTCAAGGACAATCCCAGGCTCCTGGAATGACTCTCTGGTATCAGTTAGGCTGTAATAGCAGGGCATGCCAGGGAGAAGAGTATCTAAAAATAGAAAAGGTTCACAAGTCAGATGTGAAGAGACTCATAGAGAAGGTAAATGAAGCAGAGTTTGACTAAGTTACTTGAGAAGAAAACGGAGGGCAGCAAGGAGGGAGGGAATAAAAAGAAACAAGGACTGAATTCATGTTATGAAGAGTCAAAGAAAATGTGGCACCAGTATAAAAGAGCGTTTTGGGTGAAGAAATAATCCTTAAAATGAGGCCAAATGGTTTTTGCGAGGCATTTGGACTGTTATGCCAAGGGATAAAGGGGCGTTACAGCTGGAGAATCAATTAAGAAAATAATCTATTATGAAAGTTAAAACAAATGGATGAGAGGCAGAAGGCTGAAGAACAGGCTGAAAAGAGAGCTGAAGACATCCAAGGTTTAGGAGCGCAATATCATTTCATGTTGTGAGTGGATCTGTTCTGGAGATATCATAAGCCATGCAGGTAGAAGATATCTGCTGCTTCAGAGCTTATCATTAGCTTTGCCTTAAGTGCTTGGGATTTACAGCTTTTGTTGAAAGATCGCAGCATTAGTGTCTGACACCTGTAATTGTGCTGCTTAGGAACTTTTTCATGCTCCCCTCAGTAATACCACAGGGTTCTGGCTTTCTTCTTCCTCTCTTCAGCCTCCATCTGCTGGAGTATGTTTTGGCTATGAGTATAATAAATACTGAACCAAAGTAATACATAATGTCTAAATTTGATAGCATTTTTTGAAGCCTGGACTTAAAAGTTTACTAACTTTGTTCATGCTGAATGAGATTCATTACAGTGTCAATTTACAAGCCATGGAAATAAGATGTTTTAAATAAACAGGCTTCTGCACCTTATTTACCAGGGCCCTCTTATGTGTGCCACTTTCTCTTTTTTACAGTGTTGTACATAAGCACTCAGAAGAGGAGGATGTGAAGATGCCAGAAGGAGGCTGTTTTGTACTTGTGAACCTCTTTGAAGTGATGAGCCCTATTTGATTTGTAGTTCATAATCCACATGTGAAATACAGAAGTGTCTAAATATTTTTTTTTAAATAAATGTAAACCAGTGTAAACTTCCTGGATGTTTTTTTTCCCCCAAAGCATTTGTTCCATTATACAGAAAACAAAAATAAAAGAGAAGCATGCAGTAGTGCCACAAGTCTAATTCAAAGCAACAGCTCATTTAATTATGCTAACAGTTACAAAAATACTGATTGGAAGGTAAGCAGGCATGGAGTAACTGCAAATCACAGCCTTGCATTGATGACAAAACAATAGTTTGACTGATGTTGGGAAGGGAAATGCTAATGTTTTGGTGACAATGACCTGTCCCTTTTGTAAAACACAGGGTCAGCTTTAAATGCCAGTCTAGTAAGAGTCATTGGGTAAAAAGTTCAGCTGTCCGAAAAATCTTGAATTGTGGATTGAATCAAGGGATGTAACAGTGACACTTCAACAGTTAGGGGTGGAGAAAGAATTGAATCAAATGGAAGAAAAGCCTTAAGGGTGAAAAGAAAGCTCTGTGCCAGCTGGGGAAGTCAGTCAGAGGTGAAGAGCTCTCAGTTGGTGTGTCAGTACAGTAAGTAGGAGCTTCACCTCCTGCCTGTGTACCCCCCACCCTACCTCTGCTTGTGGTGACCTTTTTTTCGTGCTTCTATGCAAAACACAATGGACTTCTTCAGTAAAAAGCAGTTTTAACTAATACCTAAAGCTACTCTGAAAACAGACTAGGAATCTAAAAGCTTTTGTAAACACGCCATATGTGTGCTCTTCAGACAGTTCAGTCTTTCTCCCATCCACTCCCCTCCAGACCTAGTACTATCTATATATTCTCTTTTTTAATGTGCTAGCCAGAAATGAGAACAAATGCATTAAGCTTATAGTATGGGGTATGCATTATGGAGGGGAAACCTCTGAGCAAACAATAGAGTCAGAACTTGTTTGTGTATATTTTTCAACAATGTTCCCAGATAATCAAAGCACAGTGAGTAAATCCAGCTCAATTTTACATGGCTACTTATTCCAATTTATAAAATATGTTTTCTCCTTTTACATGCAGTCAGCCAAGAAAAAAATCCAACTCTGAACATTCAGACGTTTCTTTGCCTGAGTGTTCGTGCACTTAATATCCACATACTCAGAATTTCTCATTCTTCATGACAAAGTTGTAAGTTAGGGTAATGTACCTCACAGGGAGGTTATTGAGCCAATCTTTTAAATTGAGTTTTCTGAAGTCCTACGTTATTCTTTGGACAGTTTATAGTGCCTCCAGGAACAAAAATACTTCTAGTTGTGGATGGATCAACACAAGAGAATTGAGTGAATGTAACATTGGCCCATTCTCCCCAGGTACCAGTAGCTCTAATGCAGCAGGGACTAATAACATCTCAGTTATGAAAGGGAGAGAATACAGGTTGCAAATTTTTAATTTTACTGTTTTTTAAGATCGGTAAATAATTCTAAATTATTTTTCAGTCATTAGTTAACCTTTCCACACAAAGCACTTCAGAAGCCATGACAGAACACACAAATAGAGTTGCTACTGTACAATGTGCTTCAGCAATTTATCATTTTTTGACAAGGGTTGAAAAAGGTCCAGGATGTGAGACAAATCACCGACTTGCTCTTCTGTAAGTGACTTCTTTTTTTAAAAATAAAGGCGTACCTCCAAGGGGGACATGCAATTTCTCATTTGCTTTGTCATATATATGTAGCTGGCAGGTTACTGTCTGCTTTCAGTCCTGGAGACTGTCTGGGTTTTGTTATTTTTAGAGTTTTTAAAATTTTATTTTAATACAGGTTTAAATTTTTCCCCCCTCTTCCTTCTCCACCTTTCTCTCCCCACACACAGCTACCCACCTATAGCAACACATTTTGCATAGGCTTTGATTTACTCTCAAGAGCTTGCATTGCTGACTTTTCAAATGCAGTTCTGTTTCTACAAGTCTAGCTATACAATATGTTTCAGTGTAATCTGCTACTTCTGATGGTCTAATCACATACTGAACTAACTGAACACAGAAAATACTATGTATCTTACGTGCCAAAGGGTTTTTTAATGTATTCTAGATCATGAAGTCACTATTTACTATGTGAGGTAGACAGGAAAATTTGCATTGAAGATCAGCTGCTCTAATTCATATTTGAATTGCAAAAGTAGTAAAAGAAATTACCATTTAATTCCTACAATCACTGGCCTTTAGTATATTTTATACTGTTTTACCCCTTCTAATTCAATTTTTAACCCCTGTGTTTAAATCAAGTAGACATTTAAGCTCAACTTCAATCAGGCAGCCCAGTGTTTGGATGTAGTCTGGTTTTGGTTGGATAAAACATTTATATTGGATTTATTCTGCTTATCTTTTAGATTTTGACTAAAATTCTGTAGGACAACAATCCATTTGCCAGTAAATCAACAGCTTTCAGAATGGGACATGGAATGCTATCCAGAGTTGCATCACGTTATATATGTGCATAAACATCAAAGTAGAACGATATATTTCCCAAACTCTTGATAACTCAACCAAATGTATAAGATATTTATCCCATTGGGAGATACAAATGTACTCCTACAAAAGCAATATATCTTCATACACAAAAGGCAGCATGAGATACTAGCACTCATATCCTTCATGTCACCTCATTTACCACATCCTGATGCTCTTGCCCTGGTACTTGTGCATCAAACAGCTTTGCTTGGGGATCAAGCTCAACTAGGTCAGAATTGACAATGAAACACTCTTTCAACAACTTGCAAGCATGTGTCCATCACTTTTCTTAGAAGAATGGACCCAAAATTAAGTAATCCAAAACTAACGAACAAAAATGACTGAATTTCAAAGACTGAAGCTGCATCATGTAGATAGTCAGTACTTTTATGCACATCATGAAGCAAAAGCCATTTAATCACTATCCCACCCTCAGCTACACATGCAGTTCATAGACAGACCCCAGGAAGAGCAGTAGCTGTGAATTTGCAACATCTCCTCATCCAGCATAAGTTTCTTGCTCTTGAAATGACAAACTGAGCCTCATTTTCTTAAACAAAAGCCTGGCTGGGAGCAGCAGCACAGCATATCCTGTGAAAACTAGAGAAAGCAAGTCTGGAAGAAGGAGGAGGTAAATAAGTACTCACTGTGTGGTGAGGCAGCCAAACACCAGGTTACTACTAGAACCTGCAGTGCCCTCGAGTGCCCCTATATAAAGGGAGAAGAGCATGCTAGGAAGGTTTAGCCTTAAAGGTATACACTGATGACCAATTTGTTGCCACTTGATTACAAATTGTTGCCACCTGGTTCCTAGTTCAAAGGGAATCTAATGCAACCCACACTGAACATAGTTTATTTCAGTTCTTTCTGTCTCTTTCTTGATGCTACAATGACAAAACAGCTACTCAAAGTCCTTCTGGGTTTGACTTGCCCATTACTTCCTAAGGCTCTTTGCCAGCCAGCTGTTCCCCACAGCTGCATGTTTCAGCTGTGTTGTCCATGGTAGGCAAGAAAGCATGGAAGTGTTTGCAAAATGACAGCCTTTCTGTGTTTGACATGGTACTGAAGCAATGCCTGGTCTTCAGTATTCCAGCTCACACCCATGGCCAACTCCAGCCCCGTGTGGGCTTTGAAAACAAGCAGACTGTGGAGTCAGCAGTTTCAAAGTCTCAGATCCCTGTGCCAAACTGTCCTCCAAGGCCTGAAATCAGATGGGAGGGGACATTTCCTGAGCTGCTGCACTGACCTGGACCCTTGAATGTTTGGGAGTCAGTGACCCACACGGCAGCTGCGGGCTGGGCTGGGCTGCATGTTCAGCATGTCCAGCACGGCTTTCAGGTCTGCACAAACCCCTTTGGCTGCAGGGTATCTCTGCCAGCTCACCCGAACTGCAGAGCTCTTAGGCAGCTCCCACCTGCCTGGCTTTGCCTTTATCTAAGAGCAGCAACAAGTTCTCATGAGAACATCCTTTAGAACAGAGGGTTGTTCTGATGTACAGAAATTATAAACTAAGTGAAGTGATGGGAAGAGAGAGCACCTCTCCATGGGTAGGTTTGCATCTGCTCTGTGCAGTGCACTGTGGGAAAATCCATCTGGGCTCTGACATGTGGGGTGCCCAGCATCTGAAGGGATGTTCATTTTACTTGCTGTCTGTATTCATCATCTTACTCCATCTTATTAAAACAATCATTAAGCTATTTGTTGCTAGACCCTTCTTTCTGAGACCCAAAAAGGGCCCCACATTCACTCTCTCTCCCCCTCTCCTCAACCCCCTTCTCTAGTGCAGAACAGCTGCCCAGGTTGCAGTAGTTATCAAATAAAATTTAAGGTTATTTTTTTTAATAAATCCCTCAACCTCAGTTTTTCTCTAGACTGAATTTGTAAGGGAAGGAGTCATATTATATGTTGCATGCATGTGTATATGTCAGTTCATTCCCAGTAGTAACATTTTAATCACTGTCACACTTCATTAATGTGATTGAGGAACAGCAAGAGTAATCATCTGAATAAAAGGGGAAGAACCTGCCAGTACTTCTGCCAACCCTCCACCTCACTAGTATCAGAAAAGCATCCTCTTTTCCCTGTTTTCCCCAAACATAGAGCCACAGACATGCCCAGATCAACCCTGAGATGCCAGTTTGAAGACACTGTTCTCCATTTTCCCT